ACTAGATATTAATTAAATTATAAATATATCAATTCATATGAATATGACTGAAAAATTTAATTTTTTCTGAAAAGGTGGTGTCTATTTAGTTGTGACCACGCTGTGTACATATATTGTTGTTAAGGCACACATCAACAATAATGTATCGACTTAATTATCGGTTTAGTTTGTTTGTTTGTAATTAAGCACAAAGCCATACAATGGACTATCTGTGCTCTGCCCACCACGGGTATCGAGTCCCGGATTCTAGCGTTGTAAGTCCGCAAACATACCGCTGTGCCACTGGGGGCTATCGGTTTAGCCTTTGTACCTGCGTTATGTGAATTCGTGAAATTATTAAACGCAAGGAAACTGGTAGTAAATTCGATTAACGCATATTCAATTACTCTATATACAACTTAAAACAGTATTAAAAGAGTCACAAATGAAACGATAAATAGGTTTTAAAGAAGTAACGTAATGTTTTGTAGTATACAATATCGCCCATTGAACTTTACATGTTTGAAATTAGATTATTGGATTATTTGCCAATAGGATTAAGGAATCTCATAGGAAGCTGATTGCGACTCGTCCTGTGTCTATATTGGTTCCTTTTTACGGAACCCTGTTTGTTATTTTTATTTGAAGGACTTCTTTTATTCCCCTACTGGTATGGCTTGACTCTCGAGGAGGATCTGTGGTACTTCTCCAATTTATATCTTTGGTACATAGCATTCTGTGTTTCATGATGGCTGACGATATCCGGTATTCGGCATTGTTCCTGAAATATAACCTTTTAATAGCCTCTTTTTTTTTTCGTCTCCCTGGTGTATCATTTACCACATTTACACTTAACTCCATATACGATATGTGTCTGCTCATAGCTAAGCACATGTTTTGTTTGTCATTATTATGAAACACAAAATCTCAGCTTTGTTTTCTTTGTTTGTTTTTTGAAACACACACACATGTATAATTTTACTAATTACATTTCAGGCGTCAACATGAAGGCTGTTTTCTTCTGCTTCTTTCTGATTTTGGCTCTGTCAGTTTGGCAAGCTGAAGCGGGTCTTTGTAAGACGGTGTGTGACAAAATTTGTCCTATCCCTGGCGTCTGCGACGTAGTATGTAAAGTTTTATGCACAGACCCTGTCAGCATGTGAGTTTTTGTTTTTTAAGGAAATTATAAGGAATAACATTAAAGTAACAGCTTTGCTAATGTACCCAAAGTAATTTTTGTGATTTTCATCAAACTCAGAAAAATAACATCGAGCCTATTCAATATTTGAAATAATAAAACTTCATCAAATTCAGAAAAATAACAACCAGCCTATCCAATATTTGAAATAATAAAACTTGTTTTCTTTCGATATATTTTTTTTATATAATCAACGTTTCAGAATTAATTTTGATATTTTTTCAGCACTCGTCTACCTCCAAGAAGGTTACCTTAAGGGATTACCACCGGTTAGTATTTTCTACCGTGATAATAAAGTGTAAATATTAGTTTAAACAGTTTAAAATTGCCTTACTCTGAACTGTCAAACTTTACGTGTGAATTTTGAAATGGATGAAAAATATTATTCACAAATATATGTATGTATGTGTATGTGTTATAGCTAAGCCACATCGGGCTATCTGCTGTGTCTACCGAGAGAATTCGAACTCCTTACTGCTGTCCCACAAGTAAAGTTTTCCAATTGCCGATAGCTAATCGTAACAATGCATGGAAAATGAGCGATTACGAAAAAATAAATAAATAAATTATTCTGAAAACTGACAGTCATTATGCCAGCGAAAGAGACGTAGTCATGTGTTAATTTATCTATACATTTCTTTTCCTAGTCAAAACGTGAATTTCAGTGAAGGAAAGATGACATAAGAGCCTTATCTAGTCTTTGACTCGCTACGTCCGCTGCAGTAGACTAGTTCGCCGAGTTCACGTCTTACCGATATTGCTTCTAAAAGCGAAGAAAATATATAACGAAAGCGCCATATAGTGGTGGAGCTTAATAAATCATTAAGGTCAGGCAAAATAACTTTATAGGCACTACGCTCACAATAATAACTATGAGACCTAGTAATCGTTCTACGACTAAAAAGATGAAAGCATGAGATTGAATGAATAACATATTTAATGCCAAAATCGAATTTTTAACCCGAAACATCGATTTTGCCAATAATAGTATCATTCAATGAATTTTTATGCTCTCATTTTTTTAGGCCTATACGTTATTCACCAAGTGTTTCTTCTTTTCACTTTAATTATACGATTTGGTGAGGAAAAGGAAAAATTCACAAAGAGATTTCCAGCTAATCAGCTGAATAATAATGGATAATTAATTGTCACATTTTATTCAAACACCTGTTTAAAATGTTTTATGGTCAATAATCGTGGCTTTACACCAAACTTCTACAGTCGTGTATTATCATTCTCTGCATACATTTGTAAGATAATTTCAAGTATTGGATGTTGAAAAGGAATTTTAGTTATGAAATTCATTCACAAGCTTTTTCAAAATAATAATAATTAACATTAAAATAACATTTTTCAGTAGTTTGAGCAACACATCGTATAAAGTTTAGACATACTGGTATCTTTAATTTTCAGAATATAGAGCCCCAAAATTGTCCAGAAAATGTATCAATATTTTCCATAAAACACTCATAGATATGTTGTAATGAAATGTGAAAAATTATTTTAAGATATTTTGTGCAACATTGTCATTAGAGCTGATTTCTCTAATGTATTGTTTTCAGTAATTTTATCAGTGTGTTGATTGATCATAATTTATCACTTTATATTTTGTTGTTTTTATATTTCAGATAAGACGTCTTATGTCTGACTACACTCTGTTAACATATGGAAACAATTATTCTTCTGTTGCCTTGATGCTGTTTCAAAGCGTTTAGTTAAAGTAATTGCAGGAATTTTATTAAATATCAAATAAATGCATTCATCGTATTTTTCATGTTGGGCTATTTTATTGATTTAAAATACAATAGATACATGCGAGGAAGCAAAGGATTAAAGATAACAATAATCCTTGAATTTGGTTGAAAATCTCCATTTTTTTTCCTTTTTTTTAGTAACAGAAAATAGTGACACTTGAGGTACTTGAGTGTAATAAAAAAAAGTTAAATCACGTTTTTATCACAGCCATGTGTCATTCCACATCAAATAAACAATGGATAAACAAATTACAATTAAAACGAAAGCATAAAGCTCCACTGAAGAGTAGTCTCTAATATTGACCTGATGAGGATTGAAACGGCTTTCCTCAGCCGAGGGTGATATAGAATTTAATACTTAGTGTCTGTTTGGTAGAGAGGAAAAATAGTCTCACTCAAGAATAATGATCTTCATTTAGAATGTTCTAGATGTTACACAAATGAAATCTGAAAACTGTTACATGAAAAGAAGTAATATTAATCTTAACATCAAAATCACATTGCACTCAGATTTTTACAGGCAAATCTTTAGTAAAAATTTAATATTTTGTGTACAAAGGACTTGTAATGTTTACTGAAAGCTTGCCGAATTTTGTGAAGATACACTTGCTACATTAGAAGCTATAGTATGGATACCTGGTGGTTACAGAGTGTTTGCAAATTGGTCCAGTTCGTAGAAAGAGGGTTAAAGTTATTTACCTTGCAACCATAATAGAATACAGAAGAGGCGACCTCTAGCTTCTTAGAGTCTTGTGTAGCAAGAAACAAGGCTCAGCTGGTGAGCTGAAAAGCCCCAAAAATTAAAAGTGGAAGCATTCTTTCACTTATGCTGAAACTGTAAATGAACCTTTTAATAATCCACAAATAGTCTTTCGTAACAAATAAAGCTACAATTCACTTAACAGGAAGCTAGCTAGCTATGTGTTTTTCGTTCTTCGCCGGTTCGTACGCCGAAATATTCACCGCTGAAGTTATATAATTTTTTCGTAAAAACACTAATGTCCGATGTGAATTCAATCCGTTGAAGTAAAATGGTTTGTAACATTCGAAAGTTATAAACGTTCCTGGTCAAATATCTGAAGTTCCCGATCAATAAGCGTTGAAACAATCACAGTTATAGCTACCGAGGTTTATAGCACACCAACTATAGCAAACCAATAATATATATACTGTCTTCTGGCGCATCGCGTTGGCTATATTTATAAGCGTGTGGAGAGTTTCTCGAAATTTCAGCTTACGCAACAATATAAACGATACACCAGTGTTTACGTACACACGTATATTGTTGACTCTTACACTAGAGAATTTTCTACAATTTTAGTGAATAGGCGGAAACTTCACAATACAGATTTAACAGTGTAAGTTATGTACATTTCAACAAATACATTTAACTTAAACAAACATCGATATTGAAACAGATGTATGATAATAAATCCGTCACATATCTTATTAAAAACTGATACCCCTATATACCCAAATCCTTTCTCTAAACTTAAATTCAATGAAATTTAAACATTTCTCTGTAGATATTTATAAATTCCAATACAAAATTCATATATATCGTTTACGTTACTCTGCTAATACAGCTAATACTCGTTTAGTCCTTGCTCAGAAGCAACTTACCAACAGCTTCACGAGGATCAAACTTAAACGTACCACCAACGTTTAGTGAAATCACAATTCTTGCATTTGCGGTTTCTTCTTGAGTGTTCGTCGATCCACAGATACGATTAAGTTATAACATGAAACTAATCTTTACGGCAGTATACCGTGTGGAGCGAGTGTTACGATTGAAGCAATAGTTTGTTGGACGACACCATGGCAGACACACAAGAGCTATTGAAGTTCGAGTTAATCGAGAACCATGATTAGAGTCTAAAAGAATACAACGTTTTCTAAAAGGGACCACTGCACAATCGTCGATTTTTTTTCTTTCTGGGAATATTTGAGAAACGAATCTTTTACCAGCTTCCAGTAAATGTTTATTACTGCGTGACAACTATAGGACTAAGGAGTTATATCATAATAACATAATCAGTATTAGATCTATAGTTATATATCAATCACCGACATTAACATTCCTCGTCAACGAATATGCTCGCTCTTTCAGCCGTGGAGGCGTTATAAAGTGACGGTCAATCCCACTTTTCTTTGGTAAAGAGAAATCTGACGGTGGGTAGTGTCTTCTTTCTAGTCTATCGCTTCCAAATTAGAGGTAACTAGTACAGATAATCCTCCAGTAGCTTTGCGTGAAATTCAACAAAGAGTCATTAACATTCAAACATTCTACCAATATAATAACTTTTATAAACTTTTCAAGTCTAGCATAATCATCGTATTAGTAGCTCCCTCTAACAAACAACCAATTTAACACATTGAAAATATAGCTTACAACACCACGAAATGCTAGTGGATTAACTCTTTAGCTCAGCAGAGCAACCGTCTAGTGTGCGTGAGAGCTTGGGGTTATATCCCAGCCAGCCTGAAGAGCCCTTGTATTGAGCGAAAGATCTCGTCAGTACTGGATATATGAGATATAGTATAGTTCACATATTATTATACAATATTTAAAGAATAGGAGATACCACATAAATATGGTAATTTGATATCTTAAAAGGTCCTTACAAGCAAGTGCTAGTAGGTTAATCATTTAGCTCAATTGGTAGAGCATTCACCTGATATTAGCAAGATCTTGATTTCAAAGTCGAGCTGAGAAAACCGTCCGTTTATCACGCCGATATCGCGGCCTTTGCAGTATCGAATGACACACAACTTGCATCAAACGACGGCACTTTCTGCCGCACAAGCAAGTTTGTCTTTTTAAAATTCTTCCAGCCACTTACATATATTTATATATAACGGATGATGCGCCACTTCAAGCATATGATTAAATTTCGGGGTAATTGGTAGAGATCGTGATGAGTAATAAAATCGAATCGGGTATATGCATTCCTACGTTTTGTATTGCTTGTACACAAAAATCATAATAACTGGCTGAAATTCCCATCTACGTTTGCTTGTTTGGCAAAGTGGCACATTAACTCAACATTACCAAATTTTATCCAATCGGAGCTCTCGGCTACAACTCCATAATAACCCGCATGTTTTACCCGCAGCACATTTCAGTTTTGAAAATGCCCAAATTGAAGTGAGCTTCTTTAGCTCAGTAGGCTAACAAAGCCAAAACCAAGAAGACAGTCCAAAGAGAACACCCAGAAATTCATAATAAAATTCACTGCTTTTACCATCACAATTAATAATTTGCAGGGTCATACAGTTGAATAAGCAAGGAAGATTATGTTTTTGAAAATCTTTGTTGTTGTTTTTTTTGCATGTTTCAGTCTGTAAGGATTCATTAGGGAAAACATTTGAACATAAAAATATACAGAAGTCAAAACGCTAATCAAGTAATACTTGAAGGAGATGATCAAATATACATAAAAATGTTGTTTTCGTGAAATACTAGAAATATGCTAGTCATTCTCTTTACATATATTGTTACTAGGTTATAATTAGTTTTTAGAAAACATGTTCATAAAATATTTATTTAGAAATAATTTTGAGAAGAAATATATGTGTGTGTGTTTTTTTTTTCTTATAGCAAAGCCACATCGGGCTATCTATTATGTCCACCGACGAGAATCGAATCCCTGATTTTAGCAGTGTAAATCTGAAGACTTACCACTGTCCCAGCGGGGTCCGAAGAAATACGAATCACTATATCCCGTCATATGACGGACATTTAGCTTGTAATTTTATAAAAATTAACTTACCACATTCAACAAGTTTCATTTTTATGGGTATTTGTTTCAACCAAACTGTAACACACAGTTTATTTGTTTGTTTTGTTTATGGCAAAGCTTTAAAGGCTATCTGCCGCTGTTCCTAGTTTTGAACTACCGGCCAGAAGGAAAGTAACCAACTGGCAGCATATGCTACCGACACTTAGCAGGATTTACACCCCCACGGCTGAACGAGCAAGAATTTTCGGCGCCAGGCTTCGATCCCACGACTCGAAAATTGTCAAGTGAATGCCCTAACTACCAGGCTGTACCACATGGCGTTTTTGAAACGTGGATCTTTATTCTTCAGGGACTAACTGGGAATGGTGGTGTAACGTCATGAGTGATATATAGAGGGAGTTGAGGGACGTCGTGAAGGTCACGTGGGCTTCCAGGAAATGTTTTTGTATAATTTTCAATGTTCTGTTGTAAGTGTGTTTCATTTCCGACGCAATATGACCGGAAACGAGAGCGTTAAAAAGGTGTTAGAGATGTTTTGCTTTAGAAATGGTCAAGAAAACTATACTTAAATATTGGTAAAGTAAAATAAAGGTGACACGTGGAGACTGGCTGAAAAAGAAATGTTAAACAGATGAATTTCTAAAGACAGGCATGGAAAATTATCACAAAGAAATAGTAACTATTAAAAAGATTAGAGGTAAACATTGAGAGTTCACACTACATAAAAAATAAATAAAATCTACTTTTTTCTGATAGAGAACAAACAAATGATCGTCGGAGATCACCAATTCCAAGATCTAGAGAGTAAACCAATGATCGGAAATCACCATTCCAGGATCTAGAAAACAAACCGATGATCAAAGATTACCCATTTCAGGATCTGGAAAGACAAACCGATGATCGGAGATCACTGATTCTAGGATCTAAAAAACAAACCGATGATCGGAGATCACACATTCTAGGATCTAGAAAACAAACCGATGATCGGAGATCACCCATACCAGGATCTAGAGAACAAACCAATGATCGGAGATCACCCATACAAGGATCTAGAGAACAAACCAATGATCGGAGATCACACATTCCAGGAACTAGAAAACGAAACAATGATCGGAGATTACCAATTTCAGGACCTAAAGAACAAACCAATAATCGGAGATCACTGGTTCTAGGATCTAGAAACAAACCAACGATTGAAGATCACAGATTCCAGGATCTAGAGAACAAACCACTGATCGGAGATCACTGATCACAGGATCTAGATTTATTC